CACTAAACTTTGTGTTCCCTATTATTTCTCGAATATTATTTGTGTCCTCCTTTGTGAAGACAGAAGCAAAGTATGTATTTAGTCAATCAGTTATTTCTTTGTCCCATTATAAATTCCACTGTTTCTGACCGTAAGAGACCTGCATGTATCTACAACAATCTTTTTCTTTTCACGTGTCTGTAGAAACCATAATGGTCAGATATTTTGTTCCTTGCAAATTTACTCTCACACCCTATTTTCCGTTTCTTAATCAATTCCATTGCTGAGTTCTAAACTCCCAATCCTCAGGTCTGTTTCTCTGGCCAACTTGTACACCTCTTCCTATGTCTAATTTCCTATGTAAGTCATGGTTTTGCCACCTTTCCCATTTTAGTTTTGCACCAGACAGGAGACAGCAATTGCTGCGGTTCACCCATGCACTCTTTCAATGTTAGCCATTGCCTTTCCACCATCATTCCTTTCAGCAACTTTCCGCAAACTATCATAGCCAACTACCACCATAGTTTCTCTGATTTAGATTCAGGACCTTAGTCTCAGAATCAGCTACACCACTCTATTATCTTGATGAGGATTTCCGTAATATTATGGTCACTAACACCCAAATCTCACTCCAGAATTTAATGGGCAAGCAAGGTGCATTTCTAACGTAGTTAAACAAATTGAGCATCAACCTACAAGTCTTTCCAAGAGCAGGACAGAATCGTGGTTAGCCATGAAATGGAAAGAAATCTGGAGTATGAACCATCATCAGTCATAGCCTGGGCTATAACATCAATGTAAAATTGCACGTTGCCATAGCAACTTGGACTCCTTGAGGGAACTGTTAGCTCAGTTGACTGGATATATATTTGGCATGGTGGCTCAGTGGTTAGCACTGCTGCCTCACAGTATCAGGGACCTGGGTTGGATTCCACTCTTGGGCGACTGTCTGTGTAGAGTTTACACATTCTCCCCGTGTCTGCGTGGGTTTCCTCCCACTGTCCAAAGATGTGCAGGTTAGGTGGATTAGCTGTGCTAAACTTCCCCATAGTGTTCAGGGATGTGTAGATTAGGTGGGTTATAGGGGCATGGGTCTGGGTGGGGTGCTGTGACAGTCGGTGTGGACTTGTTGGGCCTGGTTCCACACTGTAGGGAGTCTATTGTGCGTGTGCGTAATTGTTGCCAATAGCACAGGGTTTAATTGCTATTCATGCCATTCTCCTATGAAAGGGACTGTGTTATTCCTTTGGCTTTACCTCACTCCCACCTCCCTCCATTGTGGTTAAGTTAACTGACAACCAGTAATGGGTGAGCAAGCATTTCTTCGATTTAAGTATTAGGAAGACCAAAACAATTGTCTGCCCAATATTTCATGGGAGGAAATTGCTCTTCAATCATTCTCTTCATTCTCTGCTGCAAACTATGTTCCTGGTCCAGCTCTCTGCCTGGAACCTCGGGTGAAAGAGATTGCTCACAACCTTGACATAATTTCTGTCTCTGAAATGAGCTTAAATACATTCAGTCCTCTCATTCAGACCAGTGGGATTGTGGGGCACCTCAACTGTTGGCTCCCTTTTCCAGACTGGGAAACCAATCTCGATGGTCTCTCTCCTTTTACCAACATGCGTCTCAAACCCTCACTCACCAGCACCCGCTCCCAACTCACAAACATCCCCATCCCTTTATTAGACCTTAGATTTATCTGGTGATGTTATAGCACTCAATCTTGTGGGACTGCCTGTAGCACCAGCAGTGCCCATAGCTCCCAGTTTTATTACTGGGACTATAGACCTACTGAGGCAGAATCTTCACTCAAGTGAGGGTCTGAAGTTCCAACCCCAACTCACTTAAAACTCCTGAGCTGAATAGCTGAAGGGGAGCTGATACCCAGGAGGCAGACGTCAATATACATGTAGAGATTCTTTTCCCACCCAACTCTTTGGTTCGCAGAACAGTAAACCCAACCACATGTTAAATTCTATGTGGTCAAACTAGAGATTTCTCTATCTGCAACAAGACCTATAGCCCTTTGTGTTCTGGTCTTTACATGTTCTCCCTGGGTCTGCATGGGTTTCTGTCAGGTAGTCTGGTTTCCTCCCACAGTCTAAAGATGCGCAGGTTAGGTGGATTGGCCATGCTGAATTGCCCTGCAGTGTCCAGGGATGTGTGCACAGTGTGGGTTAGCTATGGTACATATAAAAGCCAACACTCCATTAGCACTTTTTTGATTGTTCCTGGCACCTGTTCGTGGCAGTTAAATGATCCAGGGTGTGTAGTCCCAATATGGTCTCCTGCATTCTACCCTCCATTAACCTGAGCTCATTCATATTCTTCTACATGAGTGTTATTCATCCATCACCCTGTGCTAACAGACACGACCCCCGCCCCACCCCACCACCCACCAAGCAATGCCTCAATTTTAAAATATCTAACCTGTTTTCAAAACACTCTATTCCTCACCTCGTATTGCTGTGGCCTCAGAATCCTCGGAGACAACTGCACTCTTCTAATTCAGACCTCTAGAACATCTTCGATCTACTTGCTTCATTGGTAGCCACATCTGGCACTGGTGTGGCGCTAATGTTATAAGAATCACAAAGCACAAAGCTCTAGAATTCCCTCTCTAAATATTTCTGTATTTCTGTCTTCCTTTCCACCTTAGGACACTCCTTCAAACCTCTGACCTAATGTCACCTTATGTTGATCAGTCAATTTGTCTTACAACATTTCTGTGAAGCAACATGTAATATCTTACTATATTAAAGGTATTACATAAATGCAACTTGTTGTTTTGTGAAGAGATTTCTCTTGCATTCCTTACTGAGTTATTAATAATGTCTAATATTTCTTCTCACTACTGTCTACTGAAATTGATCAATACTATAATGATTAAACATGGCAGATGTATAATGGATTGATTCATACTTCACCGTTATTTCACATCATGTAAGCCAAAGGCTTACTGAGCCAAGAAAATTGAGCTTTATATCAATACTCTTGATTGAACTAGGACTTTCCAAAGGCTCACAATTTCATAGAATCCCTATAGTGCAGAAAGAGACTATCTGCCCATTGACTCTGCACCAACCCTCCAAAGAGCATCCCACCCTATCCCCATAACCCCATATGTATCATAGCTAACCGACACAGTGCACACATCCCTGGTCACTGCAAGGCAATTTAGCACGGCCAATCCACCTAACCTGCGACTGTGGGAGGAAACCAGACTACCTGACAGAAACCCATGCAGACCCAGGGAGAACATGTAAACCCCACACAGACAATCATCCAAGGCTAGAATTGAACCTGGGTCCCTTGTACTGTAAGACAGCAGTGCTAACCACTCAGCCACCATGCCACCCATTTCATTTCATTTTTTATTTATTTATTCATTCTCTGGATGTGTGCATAACTGGCTAAATCAGCATTTATTACCTATTCCTAACTTCCCTCAAGAAGATGGCAATGAGCTGTCTTGCTGAATTGGCTGTAGTTGATGTGATATATGTTCATCCAAATGGCTATTAGGATGGGAGTTCCAAGAATATAACTTGAGAATGAATTAACAGCAGCAATATATGTTCAAGTCAGGCTGGTGTGTAGCTTGAAGGGGAACTTCCATGCACCTGCTGCCTTTGACTTTCTAGGTGGTAGAGGTCATGACTTTGGGAGATCCTGTCTAAGAAGCATTGGTGAGTTGCTACAATGCATCTTGTAGATGGTACACACTGATGGAATTTAAGGTGATAAAGGGAATGATGAGCAAGTGGGCTGCTTTGTCAACCTTCTCAAGCGTTCTTGGAGTTGTGCTCATCCTGGCAAATATTTCATTATAGTCCGGATGTTTGTCACGTAGGTGGGGGGTAGGTGGCTGGAGAGTCATTCAACACAGAATTTCCAGCTTGTGACTTGCTCGTGTAGCTATAGTATTTGTTTGTTTGTCCATTTAAGTTTCTGGTTATTAATAATACCCACGATATTAAAGGTTAACTATTCAGTGATAGCAATGCCATTGAATGACTCAGTAAGGTGATTCTGAATGTCCCTTGATGGCGATGGTCTTGTTTGGTACCTGCATGGCAGAAATTTTAATTGCAGTTTAGCAACTCAAGCCTGGATATTGTCCAAATCTTGCTGCAGGCAGGCACAAGCTGCTTCAATATCTGAGGATTTGAAAATTGACTTTGATTGCATGCAATCATTAGTGAATATCCCCTTTTTCCAACCTTGGGAGAAAGATCATTTATGAAGCAGCTGGAGATGGTTGGGCCAAGAACACCACCTTGAATAACACCTGCAGTGATATCCTGGAGAAGAGATGATTGATCTCCAATAATCACAACCATCTTCATTGGTTTATTAAAATGAGTTTATACTGATAATCTTAGGCAACAGTTAAATGATTTTTTTTGCAACCTAGGACCACATTATAATCTTAAAATTCTTGACTAATGGAAATGACTGACCACAATCCTCACAACTGTGACTTTTTCAGAATCGATGAGCTCAAAATGTATGCAGAATTTGACAGTTTTCTAAATTTATCAAGAATCAAAACGGGTTATCCTTAAGTAGAGATTAAATTACCAAAACTAAATTTGGAATAGAAAGTGGCTGAACCTAATTTCAGTTAAGATACCACCCTGACACTTAAGTTAACTATGCAGCCTCAGGAAATGCATTAAATATAGAGAACAGACATGAGATTTTTAGATTTGCTGAGCTCACATGTGCACCTCTCAAATGGCAAAGGTTGAACGCAGGTGATTCTATCCTTAACTGGTAAAGCATCATCTTGCAAATACTGTTGCCTTTACTGAGGGAACTAATTTAAATGCCAGTTTAATAATTATTGGCTATCCTAGTTAAAATATATTGATGCAACAATAATTGAAATTTAAAACTGGATTCTAGAAATAAGCATGTATTTCTTGCCCTGAACATTTGTAATTGACTGTTCCCACCTGATATGCAATTGCGTGCTTTATTTTTTAATATATTTAGATATATTTGAGAATTTACATTTTCTCACATAACTTTCTGTATTGCTAACTTGAGAAACCAACTTTGTATTCTCCGGTCAGAGAGTTCATTAATGAGGAGTAGCCCGGATCCAAAAATTAGGCAGGATATTATAATCTGGTTAATCTTGTTAAAAAGGTTCTCTGGAGGATGTCAAAATATTTGGCTGGTTCCTTCAATTTAGGGAAAGATGCATTTTAGATGCATTTAGTGTCTCAACGATCTGTCTTTCTCAATTTAAAGTTAGAAAAAATTATCTGTGAGGTATTTCTAATCTGGGATTGTCTTAAAACGGGGCTAGGATTATAACTCACCACATAATGCTCTCACTTAATCTCACCTCTTCAATGGAACTCAAACTTTATTCTACAAAAGTACCCGGGCGAAATCTTCTACCATATTTTGTACAAAAGTAAACTGAGAGCGTGATCTTTGTTTGGAGAACTGTCCTGTTTTTTGCGGACAGAACATTAATGGACAATTTTCCACACTGTTGGATAGATGTTAGTATTGTAACAGTACTGGAGCAACTTGGCTAGCCGCTCCGACATTTATGGAACACATGTGTTCAGCACTGCAACCTATATATTGTATGTGCTTATTCCCTTTACAGTCTACAATGTTTTCAGCCCTTTCTCAATATCATACAGAGGAACTGGATTGGCTGATGACCGGTCTCTATGGTACTGGGGGACTCAGAAAGAGGCCAAGATGGATCATCCACTTGGCATTTCTGTCTTGTCTTTTGCACTGTAATGTAACGGCCTCTGCTATAATTGGGAACAAGGATGTTCATGGAGCCATCTCTTCTGATTAGTTGTCCACTTGTAACTGGATGTGGCAGGACAGCAGAACTTTGATCTGAAATTGGAAGAAGAGTAAAGCACAATTTACACCTGACATGATCAGCATTTAATTTCAATGCACTTTTTCAAGCTCTCATCGGGAGTTCACCCATTTGCAGCTGGGAAATAGCATTGGCTGGAGGATTTCAAAGGAAAAGCATTGTTTACAATGGAAGTTTGTAATTCTTTCAATGAAGGTCTAAGAATACAGAATTTCCAAGCTTGCAGGGTTGCAGATGGCCACAGATTTGTGGATGCGGTAAAAAAGATACTGTTCAAAAAGTAAGATTTGCCAAAAATGTAAGTATCCTTTCATGCTGATCCCTGAAAATTCCAAAGGAAAGCTGTCTAATATTAATGCGGAAGATTTCCAGGGCAGTAGGTATCTATCTCCAGCATCTGCATTCCATCAGGCAATACCAGGAGAGGTTTAATAATCAGGTGAGTCAAAATGAGCCATAATACATAGGAGCAGAATTAGGCCATTTAGCCCATTGGTTGTCGTGTGCACTGTGGTAGTGTCCTTACCTCAGAGGCAGGGGCCCAGGTCCAAGTCCCACCTGCTCAAGTGGTGTGCTGTAACATCTCTGAGCATATTGATTAGGAAAATATCTCTGAGCCAACAACGGAGGAGGGATCTTGTGGTATGGTGGTCATTGCCTTACCTCTGAGACAGGAGGCCATGTGATCAAGCCCTACTTGTTCCAGAATTGTGTAATAACATCTCTGAACAGAAAGATTAAAAAGTACACAAGCCAACAATGACATCTGCCAGTGTTGGTAACTTGCAATGTCTTTCCACTCACACTTCATTAGAGTACATTAACAGCTCATCCTTCACATTAATGAGATTATACTATATGGCCATCCACTGCCAGCTGTAAAGTAAGCTCCCTTGTGGGTATCCACCTAAAGTATGTTAAACAGCCTGACCCCATCCAAATAGCTTGTCTCAACTAAGGTAGGACTATTGGCATATGGAGAGCTACAGTATAAAAGCAAGGCATGCCAGAAACTGGAAAAGGATAAAACTCACAATTGGAAGCTATTATTAAACCCTGATCCACCCTTGCTGAATTGCCAACTGTTTTGATACTATTTTCATCTGCTTACCACATGTTTTAATTAAAGCAAGAAATGGCACAATCATATCATTACACTCTCATTGCAATACTGAAAGCTGTCTTGCTTTATTCCTGTGTTAATGCTCCTTTAGCAGCACTGTGGTCCCTGTTGTTTAAATGTGCTAGCTATATTTCAAAACTGTCCAAAAGTCATTTTTTGTACATCATACTCCCCTAATATGTTTTGATTTTCCGACTGGCTTCCACTCAACTTCCCCAGTAATTAAATTGTTCATAGTGCTTTAAGAGAAAAAAAACAGTCAATCATTTCAGTTAAAATTGCTGTCAGTTTGAAAATAAACTCACAACATGTATAGTTTATCAATTCTGTAAACTAAAAGGACCTGCCAACCAGGTAATAAATCTTTCTGAACCCCCAGTGGTTGCAGTGACACATGGACAATATTGGAGTACCAACTGCAATCTACTAGTGAGAAAGATCAGCTGTTTTTTCCGCTGTATTTGATATATTCTGGTAAACACTTATCCTTCAACCACCACCTCTAAAACTAATTAACCGCTTATTTATCTCATTATTGTTGGCAGGAGCTAGCCACATACAAATAACAAACTACATTTGTGTATATATAACAGGGACCAGTTGATTATTGCAAGCTATTGAGTGTTCTGAATGGGTTTAACAATGCAAGCTCTTTCTTTTTCTCCTTCGAGACTTCCTTCTCTCTGGAAGTGCTGTCCAACATTGGGGTACAGTTCCATGAATGACTACAGCTATTTTCAAGGGGCTGTTTCTCACATCTGTGACAAAGTCACTGAACCTGTATCAGCATTCATGCAGAAGAACTTCTGAGCATGTGCACAGATAATAATTCTGTTTTCTCTCTCGTCCAGGAATATTAATATCCACCACTGCGCCAGCTGAGATCTATTACCTTAGCCAAAACCAGGATTTGCACCAGGGACCTTCCTAGTGTGATAATGCAGTTCTACACCAGTTGGTGCATTTACTCATTGAATAGCTTGAAGAACAGAATTCATAAAAATCTTGTGCATGTTCCAGCAATGCCCCTTAGTCAATTTAAACAAGCAGTAATCCAAATATTAGTCCAAAAGAGTACATTATCAATTGGCAGTTTTCTCACATATCTAGAGATGACTAACTGCCAACTTTTGAAAATAACAAGCAGATAATCATGAAAGAATTGATTCGCTCAGCTTAGTTTTGTCTCTCACCTCAATAAGTTAGGAGCTGTTATGAGTATTGAATCTGGTACCATTTATAAATGACAGTGAAAAGCACTCGGTACTGCAGGTGTACAGCTGCAGAGGAATAGTCACAGTTGTGAATTGATGCCCATATTTTATTCATACATGAGCTGGGAAATCATTGATATTACCTCATGGCAATTTGCTTTCCAGGAGAAGAATGTTAATGCATGAATTAGCATCCTTTCCCTGCTTTGATATAAGTTAGCAATAAAAAGCCCAAAGTTATGTTACTTCTTTACTTTCCATTAAAACAAAAAAGTGAGCATTCTTCCATTTCTTTAGTGAAAGACAAATTTCACCTTTCACTTGCCTTATCTTCAACTTCAAAAATGTATCTATTTCCTGGTTTTGCTGCATGTTTGAGGCCTAGTACTATTTAGTCTCACAAAAATATGCTGCTCGAGTCCATGGTGCTTTCTGTAAGAACTCTCTATTTACAGCTTGATGCATACACACATGGGGCTGGATTTTCCATTGGCCAGACAGTTGGCATTTCTGTGTAGGCGGAATTTCCATGTAGGGACGCTATAGAATCCCCATTAGAGCAGGCTCTGAAGGAATCACTCAGAAAATTGAAGATCCTGCTGAGTAATTCCACTACACCTGGAACTCTCCAAAAGTTTCTATTTAAATTGAAGAAACTAAGTGAATAATTAATTATTCAGGAAAAGTTAGTCTACAAAATATGTTTTCTAACTCTTGAGCTACTACTCAACTAACTCCATACTTAACTCACACACCCTCAACTACATCTCCACCAGACTCCTTACAACTCAAGATTCTCATCTGGCATTTCCCTCTCTCCCTCCCCACTGTCATCCCTGCCCCACTCTGGACTAGACACCCACTTCCCTGCTCTGGGCATCCTACCTCGCTGCATCTCAGTTCCCCACTCTGGACGTGCCACCCCCTCCCCTTCCCTTGCTCTGGACCTGACCAATTGCTCCCTTTTCTCCACCACCACAATCCCTTCCACACACCCACAACACCACCCCCGCTCCCCCCCACCCAAGGTTGTCAACACCCATTTCTCTGCTCTGGACCTGATGTACCCCCTACCTACTTGGTACACTACACTTCCGGAATCCTATTCAGCCGGCACCCTATCTCCTGCCTACTTGGCACTCTATCCCATATGACACTCTACTCTTTGAGCACCATATTCTCCCAGTACCCTAATGTCACACTTATCTTGTGTGCTTACCATTTAACAACAGCTGTCAAAGTAGCTGGCTCTGATTCTGCACCTTTAAATTTCAGAACACGTCAGCTTCCCACATCTGGTACTGAGATCTCCATTAGGCACTTGATAAGGTGCTACATCAAAGATAATTACAGAAAATAAAACTTCACAGTTTCAGGGGTAACAAAATGTCATGGATAGAAGATTGGCTAGCTAACAGGAAATAGGGAATAGGCATACATAGGCCTTTTCATGGTTGGCAAGTTGTAACAAGTAACATGTCACAGGGATAGTGCTGGAGCCTCAATTTTTTTTATATAAATGGTTTTGATGAAGAGACAGAAGGTATGCTGGCTAAATTTGTTGATGAGATAAAGATAGGGTGAAAAGTGAGTTATGAAAGGGATGTAATGAAGTCACAAAGGGATATAGATATGTTGAGTGAGTGAACTAAGATCTGGCAAATCAAGCATAATGGGGGAAAACGTGAAATTGTCCAGATTAGCAGGAATTATAAAAATGAAACAAATTATCTGTCATGATTCTAGTAAGGTCAGCTAGCTGGACCTCAGAATAAGAGTTCCCTGATTGGGGCTGTTAATCTGATTTGATTTGATTTGATTTACTATTGTCACATGTACACAAGTACAGTGAAAAGTTCTGTTTTGCGTGCAGTATAGGCAGATCATACTATACAAAGTGCATAAGAGTAATAGAATAGAGCAAGGAATATAATGTTATGGCTGCAAAGAAGGTGCACAAAGAGTGAGATCAACATTAAATTTAAAATTTGAGAGGTCCGTTCAGAAGTCTGATAACAGCAGAGAAAAAGCTGTTCTTGAATCTGTTGGTACATGTGCTTAAGCTTTTCTATCTTCTATGCAATGGAAAGAGATTATAACTAGGGTGGGAGGAGTCTTTAATTATGTTGGCTGTTTCTGAGGCAGCAAGTATAGATGGAGCCAATGGATGGAAGGTTCAATGAAGAAGTCCTGGCTGACATATAAAAAGGGTGAATGTCGGAGATACTGACACTCTGGTGCCTGACTCTGTATGAGGCAGGATTATATAGTCAAGGACTGTTCATGTGTAAGTAAGGTGATGAGATACCAGCCTCTGTAGAGTTATTTCATTACCGGCACTCTGAGAGATTGCAGCACTCTGAGATGCAGAGGCATTTGGGTGCCCTGCTGAATAAATCACAAAAAAAATAGTGTGCAAATAAAGCAATTATGAGGAAAGCTAATAGAATGTTATTGTTAATTGCAAGGGAATTGGATACAAAAGTAGGAAGGTTATGTTTCAGTTGTGCAAGTCATTGGTGAAGCCCATATCTGGAATATACCTGAAATGGGCAGGTTGCCTTCTGAAGAGAGGTTGGATAGGCTAGGTTTGTATCTGCAGGAACTTAGAAGAAGGGGGTGATGTAATTGAAGCATACAAAATTCTGAGGGGTCTTGACGAAGTGAATATGAAAAG